CCATTATCAAAAGAAATATTTATTCATTGGATGTTTATCAGATTGGAAAAAAAAAAACTGACAAAATAATTTGAAAATATATATCTTTTTCTGATTAAATCATACTAACTATTAAATGAAATTAAAAAGTAAGTGATCAAGCTATGTGGAAACATTGTATCCCATTGGACTTGCAGTTCCATATGCCATTCCGCCGGGCACGTGTATACCATGTCCAGGAAGTAATGGACAAGGAATTGAGGTTTGTGCAAAGGTAGGGCCTACGTTAAAAACTATAAAATAAAATACCTTGCTTGTTGTTAATATTGTGAAAGAATAAACAAGGCCTAATTTAGTGAAGTATTTATATTGATGTGCTATATACCACTGCCATCATCATTATCATCATAATTATCATTGTCATTATTCTTCATCATCATCTTAATTATTGTAATCTATATCAACAAAATATAATCATCAACAAAATAAGATAGATGTTTCTTCCTTAATTATATTTAATTTTAAGCATTTATCAATCATTCATTACTACACTGTTTAATTCATTAATAACATTTTATTTTTAATTTCTCCTCCGCCTAGATGGTTTTGGCAAATTCATTTAGCTAAATGAGAAAACAAAATTTTATTTTTTTCCTGCTCTCCTTTGATGATGTTTAAAAAAATTTTTTACAAAACTAGGTGTAAAAACGACTTGCTTTACCAAGGTATGTATATGTAATTAGTAAAATTATACAAAAAAAATATACAGATACCAATATCAGCAGTGAAAGAGATCATTTATAAATTATCCAGTTATAAAATTTGTCCAACCATCTGTAGGCTAAAGGTTAAAGGTTGTTCATTTATATTGCGCAAAATACAAGAGTCTATGCGCACAACAAGTGAGCAGATGTAACTGGAAAATAAAAAAAAATAGAAAATCCAAGCCAGCACCCAAACCGCAATATGGGGATACGCCCTCGTCGCTGAGCAGGGATCTATCAAAATGTACCCTGTCCAGCACCAGTTGAGTCTCGGCCATTCCCAGTACTCGGGCGCCTCCTATCCTGATAGGACTACAAAAAAGCTTGCTGGCAAGGGATTGAAAAGGAGAAATCAAAGAGGATGAAATTGAGACAGGTAGATGCATCATTTGTTTAACTATTTAAAGGTATGTACAGTACTTCAATTACTATAAACTAAATTTGGTGTCTATTTGTAGCTGTGAGAGAGCATTAAGGCAAATCCATTAGAACTAAAAAAAAAATATATAATTTATTGTGATAATCTCTAAAAACCTGAAGGCATGGATTTTTGATGAAAGCATAAAGTAATGTCATTTCTAGAAAAAGAGTACAGATTGTGTAAATGAGGTGGAAAATGAGTAGCATAATGCATTCTATTAATTTACGAAAGTATACAGGAACATGGCTATCATGTGAATGTTCCCAAGTGTGTGCTTTGACAGTCAGTGAGCATCTACCTGTCTCAATCTGAAAGACCTCGTTATTATCAGTTTTAAAGCAGATATGTGCACACTCCGACAAACGTGACTGCCTATGCTTTTGCATAGGCACATGTACATGCATGGTTCTACATGCTGTAACTTTTGAAACACTTAACGTACATGGCTTTTGATTGGCCTTGTATGTGTATTATGGTTCACGTAATATAGAACTTGATGCTTATACAAATACAATGCAACATGGTAAAGATAAACAGATTAATAGATATTAAAGAGCTACAGTAATTCTAGAAGGTAAAAGGTACTGTAAGTCTTTAGTTTATTGTTCTCAGGATAATAAAGTCTTCTTGAAATAGAGTTAGTTGTTTAAGTAATGAAGAGTGAAACTCGGTATTGATTGAACTATAATAAACATAATTTATAAAAGTAAACCAAATTTCAGAAATGAATCTTGTTTTTAAGCTAAACATAGCAATAATTGGATGAGATAGTGTGTGTATTAAATACTGTCATACCACTATTTATAAAGCGAAGATGCTAACTAGGCATTATTTTAACAATAATCATTTTAAGTAAAAATAGATGAGGCATACTACTCTGATGTAATAGTAAGTGAAACACTGGACATGACGTATTTTACAGACTGGTTTTATTGGCAATACACTAGCTTTCGTGCACACAGTGCACTTCTTCAAGTGAATGTAATTGTTTTGTTTATCAGCAATACATACATACGTACTTAGCTCTATTTCATGTGCTCGAAATGTGGACTAATAGCTCATATTCTCCCCTGTCTCTACATGTCCACAACAGGGTCTGTATGGACCAGTACACCGGGGTAACCCCTACTCGTCTCCATCATGGACTAAATTCATTCTTGACAATGTCCTAAAGAACAAAACATAGAAATTATAGCCTCATCTTTTGTCATTTTTTGGAGTTACCATAATCATATACTTATACCCGATTCACACGTACAAAAATCTTACCAAATGTAACAAAATGTAACCAAAAGTAACATTTTACGGCACGTGTGAAAGTACCTCCGTGTAATATCCTTGTAAAATCTCGGAACGTCTCGGTAATC